ACTATACATATGCACACTTAACGCGTGTCGCTGGTGCTCTCACAGCTGTTTCCTTCCTGGTGAAGCCATGGTAGGAGTTGCACGCTGCTCCTCAGCAGTCAGCCTCCTACACATGCTTGGCACACGTCGAGGCCGCTGACCAACACAGACTTCACTGTTATTAAAGATGCAATGTGGACAAAGTCCTGGGACTGCAATGTGCTACGGCAGACAGTCTGCCAGTCTGTCCCTCTCTGCATCAACCAGCAAGTACTGGACCCACATGGGGGAAAAGATCAGGAGCCACATGAGGAGACCTTCAGGAGTAATGTCTGGCCTCTAAGTTTAGTAGCTCCAGCCTTTCTCAGGATGGCTCTGGACAGGTATGAGAAAATAATCACAGTGAGAAGTCCTCCACATCAGCTAAGCAAGCTAAATTGCTGCTGGGAGAAGATCAAGACACTTAAAGCAATACAAAATCACCTGTCAAAAGGACTTGAGAAAATCCAAAGCCAATGTGGCAAAGAAGAAAATATAGGAGACTTAAAAGATATCCTTTAAAAAAGACGAAAATATGTCCAAATAAGGAAATAGAACACAATGGTTAACTATAAAAGGACAAAAAATATCTTCAGAAATATTTGAAAAAAGGCATAAAAAGTAATAATAAATCTTTCTTCAGGCCCCTCAGGAGCAGGAAGCCTGCCAGAGTCTATCAAAAAGATATAAAAGGAATGCTCGGAAAAAAAGGTCAGAGCAGAAAAACTAAATTAATTTTCTGGATTTGTATTCAGAGTTTGGGCAGGCTCCCATGCTGCAAAGCTTACCCACAGTCAAGAGCTCAGACAACATGTATGTATGACACAAAAAACCTCTCACACAGGGCTTCAGCACTAGATGACTGGGAAGTGTGTAATTAATGTCACAACAATTTTCAAATCATTCCAGGATAAGCCTAGGAAACAAAAGACCAGTGACTTTGACAACTGTACCAGGCAAATTAACAGAAACTCTTTTAAACAATAGAATAAGGGGATACGCAGACAAATATGACACACCGGGGAAGTTCAACACAGTTTTTGTGATGAGTAGGGATGACTCAAAATACTTCTGGACTCTTCTGAAAGAGTCAAGACTACAAAAGAGCTGGACAATAAAGTCTATCCTCATTTCCGAGAGATACATGCAAAGGTCCTTCACTGAAAGTTCTTAGCCTAAGCAGCTATGTGATCAGAGAGGGTCTTCACATGGATAAATGAATGACCAAAGATTGGCAAAAATACCAATTTTAAATGAGTGAGTGGAGGAGGAGGAGGAGGAGCTGCCAATAGTCAGGCTCTGGGCTGGGGTCCACGCTGGTTAGTTTGTTTAGAAACCACACAGAAAAGGACGTTAATGAAAAGAGGTTTACAGATACCAAGTTACTCAGATCTTGCCACATAAGTGTTGATCACTGCCATAAACAGGACTGAGGGCAAGATGGGCCCTTGGTGGGACCTGTGGGACTTGTCAGGCTCCTACCACAGTTCTCTAAATGGTTCCTCCCTTGGCAGCCTCCTCTTTTCCTGTATCTTCCTATCCAGGTTGAACTACAGCCTTACTCAGCAGGATAGAAAACTGGGAATTACATCTCTCCACTCTGAGAAATTACTCAAACACAGAATAATTAAACACTGAAGCACAAACTGCCTCATTCAAAACCCATTGAAGCAAACAGGAATCTGTCCACTGATTTTAATTGCTTCAGTTTGGGTGCAGAATGACTGAAAACATCACGGGCAATTGGAAGGCCTCGCCTGTGGCTTCAAATACATATTTCAGTAGGGTAGTATTACAGAACAGAACCCTACGGAGCTGTCAGGAGCCACGGTCTATAAAACACCATCCCGAGCTATTACACAGTAATATTACATGTTGTTACAGTGAGTAAAGATCAAGTACTCTTTTATCCAAACAGAATAATAAAAATTATCTTAGTTGGTTCTTCAAGCCAAAAGACAACCCTGTCACAACCTAGGCGGTAACATTGTTCAGATGTAAGAAACTTGGTCAGAATCTCACAAATGTTCTGAAACATTTAACAGAAATTCAAGAGAAAAAAACCCCGATTTTTCTGGTTTTGTTGCACAAATTAAAGCTTTAATAAAATATTAGAAATTATTTGCAATATTGGCCAGACATTTCCAAATATTTCTAAATGCTCAAAAGATCCTGGAAACCAGTATCAATAATAATCTTTAATCAAACCATATGAGAGAGAAAACAAATTGCTGGTTTTATAAAACAGTATTGTGAAGATCTATGGACTAAACGTACAAATATTTTCAGAATGTCAGAAATATTTGTAAGCCTAGTAGTATTTTCTGAAGAGAAAGTACTGCTGACAGAAAATAGTAACATCCTGCAACATTTTCATTTGAAGAGCAATGTATGTCTCCAGCCCAGTATGATACAGCAAGACAGTGTTATTTTAAATGTTTGGTATGCTTGTCAGAAGAAATCAGAATAATCTTCAAAACATTTTATGAACAACACTTCACTAATTTTCTATCAGGAAAGTGTCTAGGAATACAGTGATATGTTTGGACGTGTTTTAGATGCCTTAAAAATTATGTCAACAAATTCAACAAAGGGAAGCTCTCATTTTCTAACGCAAGTTGTATTAAAGAGGGACACTTTGGAGATCTAGGCTCTGGTTAGAGAGCTATCTTTCAGCCAACCATAGTTAGTATTTACTTAATCTGATATTTTTGTAAATAATTTTAGAACATTTTGCATTCAGTTACTATGGATACATTTTACAACAATCTTGACTGTTGATTTAGTATGAAATGTAGCAAAATTAGAGCTATGGTAAACACAAAGCACATTTAATTCCTGTTTATGCCAAAATGCTAAATGTTTCCTTTAAAAATTCTTTATACATATATTTTACAGCACAGAACAAATGAAAGAATATGATCTGCTTTTTGGTAATATCTTTTAAGTGGCACTTAACATGGTAATAGTACTGAGCAGAAGTTACTTAAAACAGTATTACAGTACATTTCATATCTATTTAAAAGCCAAATTACAATATTAAAATTATTTATTTGCCTTCCTTCTCATGTCTTTTCTTACATTAGAACTAATGGACAAACTACCAACATAATCAGGTTATCTTATTCATGATATATCTAATAAATTATAGGATAAGAAAGAAAGCCTCTAAGTGTATATCTGAAAGACCTGCATCACCTTTTTTGCAACTAGATTGTAAAATATATTCTGGTTTACGTTACTGCATTTGTTTTCCTAACTGCAGATGGTTTTATTGTAGACAGAGTTTTCTTGTCACAATTTTCCTTCTCTTATTGGCTGAGAAAATAAAAGAGTCTGGTATTTAACGTTTTCCTGTCTCCCTGTAAAGCCTAAACGACATACCGATACTGCTTTAGCCCTACCTGCCACACTACCGTGTCTGTATTCGCCCATGGCCTCACCACTCTCCTCCTCCAACCTCCCACCCTCAGCCCTGATCTGCCCAGGCCCATTCCAGTATGCAAAGAGATGCTGCTTTAGCCTAGTAGTTACTGGCTTTTTATAAAAGAGGTCAAAATCATCCTAACAAGGAAGCAGGATGTATATCCCCTAAATTAATACTCTGTAATATGTGTTAACTCCTGTCTATCCATTACATTATGCACTTTTTTTGCTTGCAGAGATGGCACATCCATTTATTCCAACAAGACTTTCTGAATGCAAAGACTACGCAATTCCCTTCTAAAAGAGACTGATGTTTAAGAGGTAGTCTAGGTAACATGTATATACTACAGCTTGTATATAGCCTTTCAGATGATAAAGACCTCAAAGGCTGCAGATCTGCTGTCCTGAACAGGTCTCATTTTTAAATGCAGATAAACACTTTGGTAGCAGATTGAAGCTTTTTGTTTTGATTTTCCAAAACAGTAAATGTAACTCAGAACAGAGGAAATAATAGAAAAATTATGCAAAAAAATGTTTTCAACAGTTACAAAGAATACTGCCTTTAACACAAAAAAATAGCTTTCCTTTAGAAAAGGAACGTGCTGTGGATAAAAGCCCGCAGGAAGCAGTGAAAATGTCACTATATCCCATTATAGGCAACATGCCTGTAGAGGAGATTTTGATAAATTCATGCTTGCTAAATAGGGTGCCATTTTTAAATGAGCTAAATAATATGCAATTCAATATTAGCAACGTTTAATAAATACATTCTATTGCCACCACCATAAGTCTCACTTATAATGGGGACAAGCCCTGTTTCTAACAATCCCCAAATCCATGGATGTTTTTTCATTAGTTAGGATACCTGTTACAGAAAACACTTACACAACGCTGGTCTGAACACAAAAAAATATTCCTTGCTTTATGCAGTGCAACTTCCTATATTTAGCATGGGAAGTGTACAGATTTATTTATTTATTTATTTATTTATTTACTTTTTCTTTTTCAAAATATCATTTAAATGTTGGTCAAATTATAGCAACAAGTTATAGCAACTTACTTTTCTGGTAAATAGTACCAAGAAACACTACCAAATTGACATTTCTTCAATATTCTGATGATACAGGTTTCTAAACAGTATTGTAAACCACCAAATACATTTAACTTCTGTACAGATCATATGGGGAGATTGTTCCACTGAGGTTACATTGAGTAGGTTTTCAATACATCAGATTACTTGTTGATGAGAAAAATACTGTCACATAATCACTGACCAGGGTTATCTCATAGGTTGTTTTCCAATTTTGTTTACATCTCATATTTGAAAATGTCATGTTATAGATTTTGGACATTGAGTTACAGCCAGCTAATGTACCAATCTCCATCTTCCATTATACGTTTGCTTTTTGCTAAAAACCTTTGGTAGAATTTCTTTAAACCATGGAAAAGAAAAACTCTTAACAGAAGTGACACCATTGCATTGCTAACAATAAAAACAGTTTGCACTTTTGGAAATTTCAGGTGAAAGAGACTTATGTAAATATTCAATCACTTACTTTGGTAGAGTTTTCAAGTGATTTTCTCTTAACTCCAAAATTCTCAATTTGACAAGTCTAGAAATATGATAGGAAATAATTAGTTCATTCAATGAATTAGTTCAGGAATCCATAAGAATGATTCGAAAATACTTATTTCAACAAAAAAAAGAGTCCGCTTAATGCACAATAGTAAGACATCCAGTTATTGTGGGGCTGAATACAGTAAAAAATGTATTCAGAACCAAATAGCTTCATGTAAGGACAGATAGTTTCAGATAAGGACATATCTGTCCTTATCTGAACTCTTCCGAAAAACTTTGACATATATCACATTTTCACAGTAATTCTAAAGTATTTTTATTAATTATTCAAACAAGGCAAACATAGTAAGAGTTAATTTCTCTCAAACATTTCCAGTTCTATTAAAGGATAAAAAGCAACTGCTATTTAGTTCACAACTTACTTTTGCATTTTTTGAGCACTGAATTCTACAAATCCACACAGGCAGACGAACGCTACAGAACAGATCTCCATTTAATTTACTGTATTTTAAATAGAATTAGGACATGTGCTTAAGTGTTGGCATGAATTAGAACCTATACACAACAGTACTTCACCATTCCATATCATTGTGCAAACTCTAACTGGCAATATTATTTAAGCCACAGCAATAAATTCAATGAAGTAGAATAATGGGAAGGAAGAAGGACACATCAGATAAGAGATGAAGAAACTAATGTATTAGAGTTCCAGAATTTGGGGCAGTATTGTCTAATTACCCATATTGCCTAGGAAGATAACTTGATAAATATGAAAGGATTTTGATTCATGCCACCCTTTTGCTGGTTCTTTAATCCCAAATTATAACCAATGTGGGGAGGAAAAGGAAGAGGATACAAAACCAGAAGGATGAACAAGGTCCTTTTCTCTTCATCTCAAATTGTACAACTCCACTCACAGATAATCTGGAGTATCAGATGAACTATTTTTTGGAGGTACATTCAATGCATGAGCTGACTGTGCCCAGGATTGCTCAAGGCCTATGTGAAACTCCACGATTCTACATCATTTATTTGTAATTGTATCATTTCTAAACAGAGATGTCACACTATTAAAGCTTTTAGGCTGATAACATAGTTTCTAAATGTGAAGAAAGTTTATTGAAGAACTTTATAGTAAGTTTCAACAATTTCATTAATACTGCTTTTCATATTACTCTACAGTCCAGGTCCTTTAATGCCACAAGTGTAAACATGTGTCTGTGAGAAAAGTTTAAAAAAATACAACTAAGCTTTAAATGTTTTTCTCTGTCCAGCACAACACCAGTTTTATACTTCATGTAATCCCAGGCTTCCCAATGTTATGCTCTTCTAGAAAACTCTGATTTTCATCTTTTTTCCTACCAAATAAAGCAGAAAATATTTCAAGTCCTACAGTTGTGCTTAACTAGGACTAAAAAGAACAACTTTAAATGAGAAAAGTGGAGAGACATTGACATGATGCTCAGGTAGACTCCGTTCCTGACTTATTCACATGGCTAAATGAGACTATAACAGACTAACTGAATATTACTGTACCAGAACATATAAAGAAAGCACTAAAATTTGGAGAAGAGCAATAAGGGAGATAGAGGTAAAGACCTACACATGGCTAGGAAAAAAGAAAGCGTAATGTCTGTATGCTAATGTGGGCAGCTTTGGAAACATGACCAGGATTTGTAAATGCAAGATACCAAATAGATAATATAGGAGCAGAATAATGATAAAGGAACAAGCGTCATTTCATTCAGATAAAATATGTATTTGTAAAATAAATTAAAAAAAAAAAAAAAGCTAGTGCTTTCTGTTAAAAGATTTAGAATACTGGACATGTCCTTAAGCGACAAAGATTATTAGACAACGTACAGCAAGGCTTTAGAAGAGTATAATGAATATAAACACTACACATCTGATAAATCGCAGGATATTTCATATATTTGTTTTTCCTTGACATTTGAACATAATGTCTGATTCCAAGCTGCAGAAGCAGGCTGTCTTAGGATTTACTTTGATATTCCAAACACTCATCAAATGCAAACAATGACAATTTTTCTTTCTCCTTCTTCAACTAGGATTTTCTAAAAGGTATTCCAGCATAAAGCCCAGACTCAGCTCTGGGTCAGTGACAGGCCCATCAAGTGAATGCTGATAAAGCAGCACTTCCCATTTCTCAGTGCCTGAGCATACCAATAATGTCATTTCCAACACAAATTACATCACCTCAGTATTAATTTTGGAGTGCTGAGTTGATGTTCCCAGTTGAACAATAAAACACACATATGGGTAGCTGGACAGACCAGGAAAAAACAAATACTAGGTGAATTCTGTAACACCACCATGTATTTTCTCTGTTAATCCTTTGTCTTCTGAGCTATTTGCCCAAGTAGACAATCCGAGGGCAGAAAGGCTGACCATTCCCTCACCAGTGTAACAGAGGTGGAATAAACTTGACATTTCTGCCAGACCTGCGCAGTGTAAGGATCCACTGACTTCTACTGCCCTCTTAAATGGCCGTGGCAAATTGTGTTAACTTTGATTTCCCCCCGCCTCTGCTTTGTCCTTATCTAACACTTCTTGGCTCAGTTTCTGCTGCATTTATTTTTACTCTCATTCTACATCCTTTCTGCTCTGCTGTCTTTTGAATCTCCTCTCTTGTTCTGGCTTTCACATTTTTCCTTTGGTTACTCCACCACGCTCAGTCATTTCTTTCTTCCCTTCTGACTCACAACACATTTTCTTTTTGTTCATTTTTCAATAGGCATAGACCACATTGTTATTTTCTGCCCTTGCCACAATTTAATAACACATTTGATCAACGACAGGCCTCTTCTTCAATTTCTATTTCTTCTCACCTTTTCCCTAAACCACCAAACTGCATCACTTCATCATAAAATTCTTGCTGACCTAACAGTCTCTCTAACAACAATCATTCATCAAAATAGGGCTGAAAAGCCAAAATCTCTTTGGTTTTTAGTTTTGCTTTGTTTTTAAAAAGAATACAGCTTTAAAATGGTCCCTTAAAGCCTCAACTGGGTTCATATGAAAGAGCAATGTGCTTTGATGACTAATTCTTACCTTCCAAAGTTAGCTGGAAGAAACTCCAAAAAGGCATCATTTAGATAGAGCTGGGTCAAATTTAGAAGTTGTGTGAAGCCATCTGGCAGCCTAAAAAAAACAGTTAAAAGCTTAATGCTCACACCAAAGTTGCTATGGAAATAATAACAATATATATTTAGAAAGAGAAAGATGATTTTCTCTCTCACCTTCTTTTTCTACCCAAATTCTCAAGAACTTACTTGTTACAGACAACATTTTTGCCCATTCTCATCTTTTCCACGTTGCTACAACCACATGAAATGCAAATGCCTGGCACATTCAAGTTACATCAGCCTTTTCTCCCTTCCTAGCTGAGGATTTTAAGCCAAAGGTGCTTGCTTGCTTGCCTTCTACCTTTTTTTTTTTTAAACTGAAATAGTAGAATTTCATCCATTCATCTCCTTCACCCCATTTTATAAATCACGGGATTACAGCACAGATTTTTTGTTACTATTATTGCAAGTTTTTGGAAAGAATAAGGGTTGCTGAAATCCCAACCAAGAGATTACGGTACGTAAGGATGCAGCATGGCTTACTTCCCAAATACGTAAAGCACCAGCCCCTGTGTTTAAAAGGCTGCATCAGACGGAGTGCTTTGCCAACACTTTCTTTACTATGTGGAAAGACACCACATTTGTTACATAGTACACAGATCAATCCTGGATTTAAAACAATTAAAACCAAATTTAGATTAATCCCACAAATGAACTTGATGCAATGCCTTTAAATTTTGGTTCACTTTGTGTAAATTTTCTTCACTTGCTGTATACAAACACAAGCTGCTGATACTCACTTAGAGACTGGATTGACACTGGCTTCAATAATTGTTAAACACTTACAACATTTAATATTTTCTGGAAAATCTTGAATTCCTAAAAAAATATTGAAAGAATTATTATACACACATAAAAAACTGTTTAACTTGTTTTGTTCATAAATGAGTTCATTTGGCATTTTCAGATCAGACTTAAGCTATAACAGGAAGAATACATACATTTTAGTATTATAGTCTAAAAGATGATACTTAAGCACTAAATAAATACACCAGAACAGATGATATGCCTTGTACTAAAACTATTATGTTAATGCTTGATTATATAATCTTCTGGAGTTAAATAGTGACATCATTTGTACTGATATTTGTGCCTTTCATTTCTTTCCAAACTGCTTCTCTTTCTTCTTTGCCTCCCTCTCTCCTCGGGAGCACATACACATAATCCTGAGAGTCTCTAGGCCTATACTGATAAGAAATTTTTCAAAAGTTTCGAGAGTGCCTAAGCCTCATTATCAAAATAAAGACACTTAAGTTCAGACATGCAAAGGGTTTTAGGCACATAAGTTTGTAAATGCATAATTTGGAAATGCACATCAGCAAATTAGTCACTGGCTATATAAATCCTGGTAGTAGTTTACCTGCAGCCTTATAAACTTAAATACACTACACAAGAGCCCAGTAAGTACTAAGCCGCTTTGTAAAGTGTAATGTTTCACAAATTCACTGAAAAAATGGTCTCCCACTCCTATTTCCAATGCTTATTGGTCACAAGTCATCACAGTATACTATGCTAAAGCACTCTCTTTTTTTTTTTTTTTTTTTAGAGAAAAGCAAATGAGGTAGGCATCTACCCAGACTTCTCAAAAGTGCCAGGCAGGAAAATAGTACATAATCTAGAAAAAGAGCAGGTTTTCTAGAACATGAGTTTGTTAATCATTAGGAATTAAAACTTCATTATTGTTCACATTCATTACAATTCTTTAAAACACTTATACTTTTGATCTCTTACCATTTTTACTGATATCAAGTTCTTTGAGATTAACTAAGCTAGCAATAGTGGTTGGCAGACTTGAAAGGTCATTGTCTGGTATACTCAGTTTGCGTAAAGCTTGACAGTTGAACAGTTGCTGTAACATAAAAAGATACTTTACAGTGTTTCAGGAAAAAGATCACTTTGGGATCATTATTTATACACAGAAGCAACAAACACAGCAAAACTACATTTGCTACATAAGAATTCAATAATAAAAAAGTATTTTGCCATTATTTTAGAAGACATTCCTAAAGGCTGCTCAGTATCATAAACACAGCTTAGACACAGTTGACAAGCATAACCAAACCAGTTCATTGGTAGCAGGAATGTTCAAAAAGAGCTTTCTGTCAAAAACTGCATACTCATTGCAATCAACATTTTGTACGTACATGGTATTTCATATGTCATAGCAATTGAGTTTCTTTTGTGGCCTGTGGTAAATTAAAATATTTAATTTTAGAATTTAATTTCATGATAGATTTTAAAATATTTTGAATGCATGCAGAAGAAATTTGATATCTTCAAGAAACAAAATGCTTTGACATATCAAAATGATACATTGTTTAAATCCCCACCAAAATTCAGGACTCAATTCTAATTTTTAATTCAAATTCAAATGTTATAAAATGTCAGAATTTCTACTGCAAAACCAAATCCTCCTTTCAACCTGAAGTAATCAATAAGTCATGCTGAAAGCACCTTTTTAACATGGCTGCTTCCTTCAGGAAATATCGCTCTCTCATACAATACCTTTCACATGTAAAAAAAAATTAATAAAACAACCATACTAAGAGAAGGCAGTCATGAAAAACGATTTCACATTTAGGTACATTGCATTGCAAGGTTAGAGGTGCTGTATATGAAGAACAAACAGGTGAACTTTTTAGATAGTGTAGCTTATAGCTTCTTCAAGCCCAGCATGCTAGCAGGTGTAAGAGGAGAACGCAATGTAATTGCTTGGCTCGTTTACTGCCATGCTCCACATTCCCCAGCGAGTCCTGTGGAAAATTGACTCTTAAGAGTAACAGGGAAGCGTCACGCACGGCTACCTGCCTTGGCGGTACAAACCCTGCTGTGTGCGCCCAGCACAGCATCATTGCAGCTGCCCTCCAACCCCCAGTTCCAGCCACTGCCGCGCTACCCATCACACTGGGCTGCAGGAAAGGTCTGCTTCACATTACCCACTCTGTGGCTGCAGGCTCTAAAAACATCACTCTTTTCAAGAGTTAGAAGTTACCAAATCCTGTAGGACTTTCTGCAAGTACGAATTCACCAAATGGCACCAGAATATTCAGTGGGTTCCAGAGAAGAAAAACTTCTCTTTGCAGGCATCTCACAAGGGTTCTTCAAATATTAGTGCTATGTTTACACCACATTTAGTCTTTCTTTCAGACTTCTTTATCAGAATAAAGGCTACATAGTCATCCACAGGCTATTTGAGAATGCCCAATAATTTGATTGCCTAGATGAAAAACTCAGCCAAGTATCCAGAGAGGAGAAAATTAACACACAAATGGCATGCAAATGCCAACCTGGTACTTCACTTTAAGTAATTTTTAGATCATTTTGAAACTGCATTTTTCTGCCATAACTTTCTATCATAAACCTTTAGAAAAATCCTGCCTTTCCTTCCATAATCTATTCTCAGGAAAGCGAGAGGGAATCACATGAATAAAAAATGCTCAGAACAAGAAGCACCACACCACAATCCCTGTCAATTGGCACCAAATACGAAAGGGCCTTTTTACTGAAAGTTACTTTTCAAAATGCCTTTGTATTGACAGTTTTTTCAGATTTCCTCTTACATGAAACGTAGTTGTTAATTCTCAAGACGGTACAACAGCCTCCTCCCCACAGCTCACCAGCTAATGCCAGCGGTAGGCAGAGAAGCACAATGCACCGCTACAGCCCCGCAGGAGTAACGAGGAGAACCATGTCCATGCTGGGGCCTGCGCTTCCCAATCTAATTTACAGGAACAGCCGGAACAATTACTGTACACCCTGGAAGCCAAACTGGATTACACATTTCTCCTTGCAGACAATGTTAATAAAGGGAAATATCTCTCCAGAGAATGAGGAATTCCTTTGCAATGCATCTGAGAGCGCCTACTTTTTCTCTTTCTTAAGGAAGCACATCATTTTGGACAAGACTGGAAAGTAATGTAATTAATAAGCTCTAGGTTTTGCTCTTGAAATTTCTAGCCACATTACTGCATGAGAACAGCTGTAGATCATAGTAACTTTCAGCATAGGGAACGTGCAGAATTTTCGTGCATATACAAACTACCATGCTATCGTACCTGGAAAATTAAATTCCCAGACATTCCCCTGCAGACTTCTTATTTTACAAGCCAAGGAAGGCTTGGAACTTAAAAGTTCTGACAGTATCTGAACAGATACAAGGCTTTTGAACTGGTGAATGAAGAAGTGTAATAAAAAAGACTCCCTCTGGAATTATTTCATGATGTACTGTTGTATCAGAAATAAGTGTGAATACAGGTATATGTAGGCCCAAAATTGCCCACTTTTTTTTTTTTACCCACTGGATTTTCAAAAGGTGTCTTTCTAAATTTCTAGTGCTTTATTGGCCTTGCCATCATGATTCTGTTGTAATCATCATACTGTATGTCTGTATACTACTTTTATTCCTTTCATACTGGAAACCAAGTGGTGCTAATAGTGCTGTGTTTTGAGTTATAACAATGGGCTATTATTCTGTATATCTCAACTTCTTGCCTGCACAGCAATAGAGGCTGTTAGCTTCCAGGGCCACTGGAGAACAATATGGAATTTCTGCTCTTTACTCTCCATAGGCACAACTGTCAAATAGATTGGCTAACATATTGGGGGAATTTGATGTCAGAATTACAAAGAAATTAACACTTTCTAGCTTTGCAGAATAGAAACGTGATTTCTTATTGGCAGATTTAGAAAAAGGATTGGATGCCTTTAATGGAAACTAGAACACAGATGCAATGCAAAAGAAAAATTTAGTTAATTTATAACACTTACCCATCTGTGTGAACTATACATTAGTGATTACCTCAACACCATTTATATATTGGTTGTATTGTTTGTTCTCAGTGAAGCAACTAAACATTGAGATGTCGCTTCTGACTTCAGTGGCATATTTAGCATTCTGGTATCTATTTTACCAGCACATGAGATGGCGAAAGACAGAGGTGGCTATTCCTAGAATTTGTTGTTAGAGACAGACAAATTTTTCCTAAGGCATTAACAAGTAAACTAACTTTGGCCATTATAAATCAGTCCAGATTTTACTTTATATTTATAAGGGAAAGCTGCCGGGGAGAATTTTCATCTCATTCATTCTTTTCTGGATACTGATTGCCAGTGACTCCACCTTCACCAAAACAGATATTCTTTCATATTAGTCATTGATTCATTTGACCCATACAAATAGGGACATACTTGCAGCAGCAGCTCATGATAATGAAGTCAAAGGCAAATAAAATAAAAAACTTGGCTAGATTTAGGGGAAAATAGAGAGTAAGAATTATATAACAATCCTATAAATCCTTAAAAGAAAAATATTAGAAATTAGGAACCAGAAATCCATTTCTAACGAAGACAGCAGGAAAAAAAGCATAATATGATACATAAAATGTAAGGTAAAAATAATAAAAAAAACCCAAATCAGGCAGAATGAGTTTAATACATCAGTTTAATGCAAAATAATGTCTTGATTTCTAGAGTATCGTGTAGCAATGAAAGTAACTAAGGCAGATAAAGACTTAACAGAGTTTTTACCTGTGCTTTTTTCATTAAATTTTTAAACATGATCAAGCGTTCCGATGATAGAAAATTTCAAAAGAATATTGTAATTTCAGAGGCACATAACATTTGGTAAATAACAGAAAATTGACAAAACAAATTTCCTCTGGAAGACGTGTATTAGGTCTGGCTGAGTGATAGCAAAGGTTGCGCGCGCGAAAGCAAAGAAAAAACAAATGATGTTATTCTCTACTTCCCATCAGCAGGCGATGTCTAGCCGCTTCTCGGGAAGCAGGGCTTCAGTACGCGTAGTGGTTGCTCCGGAAGACAAAATGCCCCCCCTTCCGTCTCCCTTTCCTTAGCTTTTATATCTGAGCTGACGTCATATGGTATGGCATATCTGTTTGGTTGGTTTAGGTCAGCTGTCCTGGTTATGTCCCCTCCCAAGATCTTGCCCTGCCCCAGCCTGCCATTGAGGGGGGGCAAAAATGTTGGAGAGACAGCCTTGATGCTGTGCCAGCACTGCTCAGCAGTAGCCAAAACACTGGTGTGCTATCAACACCTTTCTAGCTACTGATGCAGAGCACAGTGCTATGAGGGCTGCTATGGGGAGTATTAACTTCATCTCAGCCAGACCCAATACAAGACATTATTTGAATTCACATTTACAGAGAGAGGAAAGTTCTGCCTATAGTAGATCATAACGTGTAAGTCAAAAATTAATGTTAAGTAATATAGTGCCATTTTAAGAAAAAAAAGAGCATTTTCTCTCCTAGAATACTAATTTAATAGTGGAAAAAAAGTTAAAAAATATCTGAAGCAGAAAATTTGATAAAGAAATTATTTGGACTGTTTAATTTATGGTAATGATTAATAAAGACTTAAGACAAAATTATGAATGGTATAAAGAAAGCAAATTAACACTGCCATTAATCTTCTCTTATACAAGGTCAAGACTATGTTAAATGATGCATTTACTCAAACATAAGACCGATTAAAAGGATTTCTTCAATATATAGTATTGCTTCAAAATATTATAACAAAGAAAAAAGAGGTGCAAAAGAGAGTCGTATACATTTCAATCTCTCCAAGGTTCATATTTATCTGCTGTTTTGTTTTACAAATAACAAATACAAAATAGATGATACCACAATACAATGCAAAGGTTTAATTAGCATGCACATTTCCATTGTGACTAACACTAACAACTATCACCTTCATCCCAATTTCAGAATTTTGGACCCCTTATCTTTGGCCCTCAGTTTTTTCATGTAGAATTATGGCATATTGCTCTTGTTCTAAGCCCTGATATATTTATCTTCCATTATGCACTGCTATTTAGTTTGAATACCATGGGGATGCATACTTTCAAGAGACCCAAAACAAACACACCAAAAATCCCTAGCTAAATTAGAGACTTTATATATTCTTCAGTATGATTATTCAGTAGTATAGTTAAAATATACAAGGTTAACAATATATTATTATTAAAAGAGAAATAGTCCTGAAGGTATTCATTAGGAGTAAAATGGCCTCCACCACAAATTTCATATTTATAGGGACAGAAAAAATATCTGGTTCTCTGCTGTCCTTTCTAGTAGCAGGAGAGATAAGGCAGTTCTCCGTATCATTGTTCTGTGACACTTAAAAGATTGTAGCTACCCTGTCTTACCATCTGTAAAGAATTTCTTGATGGAGCGAGCAATCTTAAGCAATGAACCGTCATATCCAAATAAAGGAACTCCATGTAATGGAAAAAGTACGTTTCCTACAGTTGTAAATAGACTTTATATAAAGTCTCTATGCAGTGTAAGTAAGAACCATTATATCCAAATAAAGGAACTCCATGTAATGGAAAAAGTATGTTTCCTACATTTGTAAATAGAATTTATATAAAGTCTCTATGCAGTGTAAGTAAGAAATATGTTGAGAGATGATGAAGAATGGATTACAGTGGAACAATGTTTAATTAAAGACTTGTAAGCATCTTTCATTATTGAGAAAAATTCAATTAAGGAATGGATTACATTACTTCATGCTTCATTATGTAGCTAGCACCTACTATTAATTGGTTTTTCCACTACCTTACCCTCTTTTGTTTCCAGAACACTTAAGTTACAGTAACTTTTAATTCCTTATAGTAAACATTAATCAACAGAAGAAAAGATTTAAAGATGCTATAAAAGAAGTTTTACACTGGAAGGACAACTTGAGTAATCTCACTGCAGGACCTCATCTGCAGTTATAAAAATACTGATCAGATAGCACTGGCATCTCTCCCACAAGGACAAACAGCTTATCCTGACAAAGACCTTGCTTTTAAAAGCAGCACTACAGAGATCCAAATGTGAGATCACCTACCCCATATACTAGCGTACTCGTGGTCAAGGTGTTAAATGCCGTATTAATTACTTGTTGTGGAAGAAGTACTTCTTTTGAACAATTGTTAACTTCCCAATGTAAGAATTCATTGGCTGCCCCGTTTCTGTGCTATGAAGCCAGGAGAAGGAGGTGGCTCTACTCCTCCCCACGCAGTACCATCTGCAAGAATGGTGGCTCAGCTGTTTGGGCTCTTCAGAGAGGGCAGAAAAAAAACTTGTAAAAATGTAATTGAATCTCTCAAGTTAAAAGCCACAACTCTTCCTACAGCAAGCAGGTCTCCTGGTCAAGAGCAAGCCCTATTTCAGAGTTGAAGCACATGCTGAATACACATTTAAGAACACAACTTTGACATCTGTATTACAGGCAGAACACTGATTACCTTAGGTAGCTCTTCAATTTGATTGGCATCTAGGTAAAGCTCCTCTAATGTCCGTTCAAAGTTAAAAACCTCCTTTGGCACCTGCTGTAGGCCACAGTGAGAGTAATCTAACACTGAGACGATTTCTTCTTCGCCACGAAAACACCGGCAGGGCACCAAGCGGCCAATAATTTTCCTTTTGGTTGTCATCTCCAAACAGCATACTGAAGGAAAAGGGGAAAAAACAGTTTTCTGAAACTATCAACATTTGGGGGACTGTTTCTTTGCAATTATTATCAAGATTGCAGTCCATTAAATACAGTTTTTCTTGAGGGATATCTGTAGTCTGCGTTCTGCATTTCTTATTCTACCTTTCTATAACACAGGAAAAAGTGAGATTTGTCGGTGTAATCACAAAAAGCAATCTCCATACATCATCTGTTCCCTTACACTGGAACAGAAGAAAACATGCCAAGACCATCCACAGCTGTTGCTTTTTTTAATGATGAAAATTAGCTGCATAAATCCTACACGTATGAACACGTTCATCAGGCAAAGTACAAAATTACCTTTGTACTCCATGTTTTGGTCCCTTGTTCAGTTTGGACTGTCAGTCATCAAAGTGAATCAGTCCGAGTCATTTGGTTCTGATTCTCCATGACAAATGCCCTGTTGTATTACACCCGATTTCTCCGAACTCAACAGAGTTCCTTAGCTTTCCACAGTTACTGCTGGAGTATATTTGTTGTCTTTTCAATCATATGAATAAAGAAAGGGATAGGTAAACTTAATTGGTTACAAAACTAGAACAAAAGTAACCCAAAACCAGACAGTTTGTTTACCTGTCATTCCTGCCTCTCTTGTATTACCTTAGTCTGTTGAAAACTCAGACAAGGGACTTGGCAGAAATGCCATTAATTTTTCTGCAGTAAAATAAGTGCTTAGGAGAATTTTACGACAGTCTATTCTCTAACTTCTTCTAATATAGATGCCAAGTTCTGCAGATCTCTCTTGCATATACAGTTTGTATGAGCACCTCTAACTCACATGGGTAACAGTTTACACAATTGTATCTTACTATTTTCCAGTGGAATAACAATACTTTAACTCACTACTCTTAAAATGAGAAAATGCTCAATAAGCAGATTTTATATGTGTCAAGCAGTCTCTAAAGCTGCAATAGATATTGACATTTTTAGAAGTTATTTTAACATGACTATAGATAAATCAGGCTGTTCTGAAACATACTACCACAAAGCCAAGAAAGGCTAAACTTTCAACTCCCATTTTCTAAACCACTTACAGGGTTTTGAGTTACGTTTATGAAAAAATGCACAAAATTAGTCCAAGTAAAGCAAAATAAAGCTCACCAGGATCCTTTTTCACAGTATGCCAGTGAAAAAGCAACTCTATATTCATGCAAAATAGTGGAGATAATTCATATTGCTTAAGCCATTATTTATCCAAAATGTAAGACAAAAAAAATTTAATTGGTCAGATAATGCTCCATTCATGGATCTCTGTGACTTTTTTGTCATGTAATACTTGATATTTTGGAGGTAAATAAAATACTCCAACATTTTATTTCCTTGTTTAAATTTTATTAGCACCTAATCTGCCTCTAGTAATCCCAATGAGATGAGGACACGAATACTGTCAGAACAAATACTGTTTTTTTGTGTTCTCAAGAAGACTGAGATGTTGAAACAAACAGCAGTGAAAGCAGAGTGCAACTGGTTATTCATTTGGCGGTGCCAATGACAGGCTTTCTGTTGGCTGATTTTGGCTTAAGGCTAAAGCTTAAAACAGAGAAAAGGGTATAGTAATTTTGTAATTCAGCTTGACCGGATGCCAAGTTTGTAGGTATAACATAAAAGTTGTATCTTAATTACAGTCAGCTGGTGCAATGAAAACATCTGCATAATACATTGTACATAAACTTTTGAAAATGTAAAAATAGAACACTTAAGAGGTATGAAAAAAGAAGCAATTCATTTACAAGCTAATAAATCACAAAATCTAAAAGTTTTATTTCAGTTCGACAGTATAGTCTACTGCAGAACACAAACAGCCACATAGCTAAAATTTAAGGATGCTATATGCCACTCAAATTTATGCTGTGAACTTTGATTTTAAGTGTTCTTCACTTAAATTTCTGACACCAAGAACACTAGATACCCTGTCAGATTTCATACACAATACTGTGGCTGGACCTGGGCTCTTGATTGGCACTCAATTTCCTGTGATAAAGAAATGTTCATTTTAACATTGCCCCTAATTTTCCTCTGGAAATAAGGCTACTGCCTTTTCAGCTTCAAATCTGTTGGTCAATTTCAAACACAGTTGGGAGGAAACGACTTTTACCATTCTCTCAACTTCAAAAAATTTTGCATTTGTCACTTTTTATTCAAGGCAGGAAAAGTCCCAAAGTTCTGCTCCAAAGCAAGTCCAGTAGGAGAATGGCCCATCACACCAGAAGTGCTCCCAGTTCTCTCTCAGATCAGGGTTTTTTTCTGATTGCCATGTCATCTGCTCTTTCCACATCTTTTTCACTATGTCTGCTCCCACCACCATAGCACTTCACATGCAATCAGCTTGTCTGGTCTCGGAAAATCTGTATTTGGATGCTGAAAGTGGCTTTGGCCATCGCTACTTAAAGTTAGTCACCTTGCACGATGTTCTACCTGACTTTAGGATCGTCTGCAGCTGCAGCGGCTGCTGACTTCAGCAAACCTTCACACCTGGGAAGCGGCAAGGAAGAGGCAGAGCAACGACGAGAGGGAAAGCTGTCAACATCAGCAGGGCTGCAGAAGGGGCCACGGGGAAAGCATGTGAAGCACGCGGTGGCAGGCGGCCTCCAGCCGTGTTCTCCCCTGCCTGGGAGGCCCAGCTGAGGCAGCCTGCCCTGTCCCTCCCCTCCTGCCGGAGCACCCCCAGTATGTAGCGGGGCAGATGTCCCTGCTGGAAACGAGCCAGGGGCAGGAACCAGCCACCGGGAAGGCAGCACAAACACCTCACGGCCTCCCCATCTCTCTGCCTTGCCACTGTTGCCAGAACCCAAGCACAGGCTCGAGAAGGGGTGCAGCACGACCATTGACACCAACCTGCACCGCTGCTTTAGTGCCAGAAACCTTCCCAAATAGCTCATTTGAGTGTACAAGATCGAAACAGATGGAAACTGTAAAAGCATTGGTCACAGAATACGTACTTCACAAGAAAAATGAAATTAGCTATCAAGCTGCACCGCTTCTTTGTATTCAAGCATAGGAAGCAGGATTTGCAACTGTGTATTTCAAACCTTGACACAATAAAAATAAATGCCCTTGGAATAGCAAATTTTTGTAGCTTTTCAAGCCATTTGAAGATAATGAACAATTGAACAGTGACACGTACTTCAAAAACTACTCAGAAAAACATTCTTCCCATAGGCATTACAAAGCACTTAGCTTTGCGTTATTCCCCTCTACTGTAGGCATACGCATAAAACAAACCCCACGTTTCATTTTTAATAGAAACCCTGAACAGTAACAGTATAATAGAACAGCTAGGAAGTGCATAAATAGTGAAGCCAATAGAACTGTACTAAAAATAGCAATTACAACAGCAAAACCATTTTTAAAAGTTTTTTCTTTTGCTTATGTAAACAAAAGTGTTTCTATTATTGCAGTTCATAAAAATATCTGTAATTTCTTATTCAATAGAAAATTGTTTAAAAAATTAGAAAGAAAAAATGCAAAGGATAAACAAAAGTGATTTAATTACTTTGCCTTCCTTAAAAGCTATGGTATGACTTGATTGTCATGATAAATTAGGTTGGTTGGATTAATGGTTATCTACTGGATCTGTCCTCTTCAGGGAAAAAAAAGCAAAGCCAAATCAGAATGTGATTTGGAGAGATGAACAATCTGTATTTAAGAGAAGATCAATACTGGAATAAGAAGGGTACTTGAACCCGAATTATGGTGCATTGCTAAGATTTTGTGAGAAAAATTAGTATGAAGTAACCACTACAGAAACTGCTGCTTATAGAATATTTGCTGGAAGAATGGCCATGGGAAAGTATGAACTTAAATGTATTTTAGTAAGAAGTGGGTTTGCATGTGTCCATAGTCTGCTCCATTATTTACCCTTTGTAATTAAAAAGAAAACAAACAAAAATGCGGAAAAGCCTGTCAAAAAAAATCCCCTGGTATTTATATTGTTCTTTGCTATCATTTCAGAAAGCACCAGTACAGAATTAAAGTACCTGTGGTACAATTGAAAGGAGTAAAATTTCATGCCCTGTGGACTAATGGTAATCAAACCCTTTATTAATTTCAGTATTATTAATTCCTACCCTGGACTAATTCCAGCTTTGGTAATTACACTTTTCTTACCTACATTTTATTCCTTCATAATTTTCATAAAGCTTTTCTTCTGTTCTGATGGTTACTTACTATAAGAGGATTGCTACTTGAGATCCTTGGGAACAAAATTTAAGTCAAATAGAGTCAACAGAAAGCCAATCTCCCAACTCTGGGAGGTTGAGTCAGAATACACATTGCCACTTAATAAAATTCCTTAATCCTTGTAAGTGATATAGAAAGTCTTCCTACTTACTTCTAGGAACACCAATGCTTAGTACTTTTCCCCATTTAACCTAGTGAAAGAAATGTAATGTAATTCTCCATAGCTGAGTATTAGAGGTTATTGCTCACCATATGTCACATGCTATACATTAAGACTATACACTCTAAAAGATCTGTATCACTGTCAAAAGTTAAGAAATTTCAGGCTCTCTATTCAGTCTTGCATGTAAGAACACTAAATTCTCAAAACTCATCAGACCACACACAGAAATGCTCAGCAACTTGGAAGGCTATAAAGACTGTCCTGCAAAGGCAGTGGGAACAGGTGGATTTTTTAAAAGCAAAAGAACTAGGATGAAATGTACATTTTTTTTTTTTTTTTGAGATTCTGCTTAAGGAAATTTATTAATGTCTTAACTAATAATTAATTCTATACAACTGCATTCATAAACTGCAATGTACCATTTTTCAACAATTCAGAAAAACAAAATGAAACACAAACACATTTTCCCCACAAAAGCTTAAAAATGTTATGACCTGTTTTCTGAATGCTTTTAAAAAAATATATTCTTTCTTGAATGCGATTAAAGAAACTATGAAAGAAGCATAAATATAAACTGCTATTTATCAGCTTCATGCAAGCATCTCAT